CCTGCAGCAGTCCTGGAGGTACAGAATGGATCACGACAAATGAGCTTCCCAGTCAGAGCAACCACCATCTGCAGGTGGGGAATCCACACCTGACTTCGCCAAAGATGTTTTCTCAGATGTGGGAAGAGAAAGAACGTACTCGAGAACACCACCAAAATAAAGCAAATTCCAGAGAACTCATTTTAATTGAGCAGTAAAGGAAAAGTGCAGCAAACAGCACAGGAATAATAAACTATAAAAGATGTCCACCAGCCAAATACTGATGAAACAGTTGTTTCTTGGGCATAAGGATGGAGGAATGATCCCTTTGTATTAGGGATTTTCAGGGAAGGAAGGCAACATTACTCTAAGTAGCCCAGTCTAAAGGAACTAAACAGGACTGTTTGGATCAAATGGAATTAAAGTAATTTTTCAGCTTAAATTTCTGACCTCAAGGTGTGGGTTAGGTGATGAAACAGCTAAGTGACATAACTCTCACTAATTAAAATTAGCAACACTAGAAGATCCTCAGGGCTCTTTGGAAACCTTTCTTCAACTTGCTGGTACCTATCTTTCTCCACAGCACTGCGTGCTTTCAAACCTGTAATTTGTAACAAAGGGAAGGGGAGAGGGGGGAATTTGGCATCTATCTCTTGGTGGTTTTTCCAAAAGGATCAGACGCTGGCCATTTGTGCCTATTTTTCAAAGATCTAAGAAAAGGTATTCAAAGTGATCTTCGTGTTTACATTTCAGAGAGAACCTAGAGGAGTTAAACATCTAGTGCCTTTTGTTTCCTCTGAAAGCAGCAAACTTGTCACCTACATAAACCAGTTTTTAAAGCCACTCGCACAGACTGTCTAAGAGACAGAAAGCAAATCCAAATAAGTTTTTGTAAGAAAGCAAATCCAAGCGTAGTACTTGAGTGTTCCAGTTCTGCGACGCGATATCATAAATAGTGATAACAGATTTTGATTTAAGGCATCTCTGAATTTATGTTTCAAAGTGATTTGGAAAGGATTTTGTACTACAGCTACGGATTTGTCCAGCACAGTCGAGGAAATCCCAGATCCCAGCTGAACAAGTAGATTATGAGCAGACAAAGCATAAGGAAGAGACTGACATGAACTTTAAAGCCTGCTCCAAAAAAACTCAAGCCTGTAACAAGAATGTAACTGGAAAAAGTTATTTTACTGAAATAAGCAACTTTTCCTGTTAAGGTTAGTCTAACTGCAAATAACTCAAATTAATTTCTTAAGACAGTAATGGACAAAGAACTCTTAACTGAAATTGTTGCTTTTACATTGAAGCATTTCATTCAAATGATACGCAGCCCACACTGACAGAGCGATGTTATTCTGTCCTTTCTTTCTACCAGAAAGTCAAGGCAATCGTTTTCTCAAAAAAAAAATGTCTCTAGCCATGTAAAATGAACCTAGAGATGTTTTAAAGTATTAACCCTACTGCTTATTACCTTGGGAAAATAACTTCTTTTATAGAATCACAGAATGGTTTGGGTTGGAAGGGACCTCAAAGATCATCCAGTTCCAACTCCCCTGCCATGGGCAGGGACACCTTCCACTACACCAGGTTGCTCAAAGCCCCATCCAACCTGGCCTTGAACACTTCCAGGGATGGGGCAGCCACAGCTTCTCTGGGCAACCTGGTCCACTGCCTCAGCACCCTCAGAGGGAAGAATTTCCTCCTTAGATCCCATCGAAATCTCCCCTCTTTCAGTTTAAAGCCATTGCCTCTTGTCCCGTCACTACATGACCTTGTAAAAAGTCAGACCCCTGTAAATAGCCACTTCCTTTTTCACTGCAGGGAGGTTTATTACAGTTTCACCAAAGCCAGTCCTTTCAGACAATCCCCTTCACTGTTCTTGGACCAACTTCAGTCTGACTACCTTTTATTGGGATCTTCATCCCATATTCACATGCAGTTTGAATCATGTGAAGATGAGACCAGCATCAGCTCATCATCCAGCAGACCGCTTCATGCAGCTTTAAACTGCAGCGGCTTTCTTCTGCAACAGAAATGGAAATACTTGTTTCCTTTTCATCATTACCGCTTCCTAGCTCCCTGCTTCCCTTTGAATTCAAGTATTATTTCCACTACAATGAAAAGTGCATCATACTGCTACATCATGACAGAGTCAGTAAATAAAAGCTTTCCTGCCCTCCCACACCTGCTTAAATAAATTCTATAAAGGTCACTGCACACAGCTTTAAAACACACTCCTAATTTATAATTGCAAATATTGAATAGGAAGTCAGTTTTCTTACCGGAATTTTTTTTTCTTCCACTGCAGAGGCACACTGGTTTGTTATTGCAGGGCTGCCCAGGAGGGGTGGACTGCTGGCATTGTGTTTTTTCTTTAAAAATAACAAAGGAGTTTTAAAAAATGGTAGTATGACCATGAAACCAGAAAAGCACTTGGTAAAACTTCTTCACTAATCTACGCAGACCAAACCCCATCCAAAACACGTGTGGGAGGACAGCAGAATACTGAGATGCTGCAAATTATCAAAGCTGTGCCCTCGGTAGTCCATGAAGGTAAGTAAATAAAAAAGCTACCAGGGAGCTAATCCACCTGTGGCACTTCAGCAGTCAGGAGCACAGGACAGACCAGAGGCAGCAGACCCACTGCCAACCTACTCTGTCCCTCCTGCCTCCAGGTAATGACTTCAAGAACCGACTAAATGGCCTGTTACCTGCTTGTTGGGGTGAGCAGTGTCTTTATTCTTCATGGTATCATATCCAGGCAGTCTGTGACGTCGGCTCATCTGGAGTGCTACCAGGTCCTTCATGATGGATTTCAAGGCCTCTTGTTCATCTGTGATGCACAAGAATTTTAGCAGTAAGTTGCCTGGGTAAATACCAACTGTAATGCTCCTGTGGTTGTTTTATCCTAGCTTTTAGGAAGACGATCCTTTTTAGGATCTTTGCAAATACACTGTAGTTTCATTTAGTCATAAAAAGCCTAAAGTCAACCTTATATCATGAACTAGTAAGCAGATGGATAAATTTTAAGTCACTTGTCCAATGTTACAAAAGGATCTGGCCATAGTGAAGTTCAGAATAAATATCCTTGGCCCTTGGTTCTGTTCAAATCACTTCACAAACAGTACGACTTGGACAGATTTGCTAGATCATCACAGGTCATTTAGGAAGGGCAAACTGATGTGTTTCTGCCAAGGAAAACCTGGTAAGTATCTGTTCTTTCCAATTTTATATCCTGTTAACTCAGAGTTCTTGCTTGCTAGCGGAACAAACCACAGCCAGTAGAAAGAAAAGTGAAAAGTTGGACGAAGAGTCGTCTTAGAACGAATTCAAATCCACTTGCACTGATTTCCCCAACACATTCTTCTCTTTCCCCCAAAACAAGCTGATGGAACAAAGTTCAAACCATTTTATGAGACTTCAAGATCAACTGAGCAGATTCCAATCGCGCAGCATTAAGAACGTTGTCTGCTGGCAGAGCGCAACGCAGCAGGTTCAATTCAAGGCTTCTTGCAAACGCAGGAAAATAAAACCCCCACACATTGAAAGATTCCTGACACATATTACTGGCTGAAAATTACTTTCTGAAGCTAAGATTCCCCATGTAACTGATTGAAAGTGTTCTTCCATTGTTTGTTAAGTTTTGGGGAGAGGAGTGATGTTCTCTGTATGAAGCCTAGAGAAAAATAAAGACAAAAAAGGAGAGAAACAGAAAGTAGCTGAGCTGTGATGGGTGCTAGCGTAAAATAAGGAGGTGTCTAAAAGCTACTGAAAAGAATCCTTTGCTTTTGCAAGCGTAAGTCCTAAATTCCTTCATGCTGCAAAAGGTAGAAACCAAGCGGAGAGGTGAGGTTTGGTTCCAGACAGGACTGCCTGGCTGCTCCGCTCCTCGGCGTTGTGCCATCAGCGTCACGAAGAGGCATCAGCCGCCGCCGCGCAGACGTCTGCTAGCGGCACGCTCGTGCCAACTGCATCCTGGGCTGTTGTCCCACATACCAAGACTCGGGAGTTCTTAGGGGTAAAAAGTTGTTCACTTGGCAAATAGTATGTCCAGTTAAATCCTTCCTGATATCGGGGCATAATGTAGGCATGGAATTTGAACCAGAGATTAGATCAGCTCTGAACATGCCCAGAAGAATCTTCTAAGAGTCTGGTTGGACTTGACCACCAGTTTAGATGCGAATTTTATTTTCTTTTTGACAACTGGAACTTTCTGGAGTGATGTGAACCAGTGAATGCACAGACAAGTTCATCACAACCCTACTAGCATGACAGTTCCAGGTTCGCAGTGCTTGATATGTTAGAGTCCTCCTGTCTTCCCAAAGTCCTTCAACATATCAGTCTGACATGCTTAAACTGAAATAAGCGTTTCTGAGGGTGATCTGTAAATAAGTAAAACTTGATTTTAAAACTGCAGCATAGCTACACATTTGTTTCTGAGTCATGACACTGGTTTGGATGGATAATGGCTTACACTGGGAAGGGCTGCCCTGGGAACAGTTGTTGCACATCAAATGACAGACTGCCTCGCACCTGTACTTCTCTGTAAAGGGGACTCATTGGGACTATTTGTTTCTTCAGTTTCATGTCATGCATTTGTTCATGAGAGTCTCTCAATGAAGCTTATGTTTTATGCAGAAGACTGCGTTCATAATTAATCAATGTCTGAATAACAAACTGGATTTTTGCAATGCTTAAAGATGACAGACGTGGGACACATACAGCTCCTACAGCATGCAGGGAGTGAACACTACCAACATTTAGAAGCAAAAAGTGGGGAAGATACACCTATTTGTAGGGCAGGAATATGTAAAAAGTCCCAGTCAGGACAAATTCACATTAAAATTATCTTTGCTACAATCAATAGTCTCTGCCCAGAAGGTCTGTTTTAGTGTTCTGAGAGTAGCAAACCCTAAAGCAGAGGTACTTCCACCATGTTCTTCACCAGGTACTACCAGAAAACCAGAAACATCCAGCCTAGGCCAGCCAACAGAGAGGAATGGAGAGAAATCTCCCAAGGCATTAGCAGAAGGTGTTAATTAGAGTAAAACATCTGAAAAAGAAAAGCAGAGCAGAGAAAATAAAGTTACTTAAAAAGACCAAAATCAGATCCCACCGAATCTCTGCTGTCCAAGACAATCCAAGGGAGACAGTAACTGCATTGTGGGAGTGGAGAAGGGACAGTACTCCTCAAAACTCTGACTGCAGGCAGAAGCAGCGAGGGGTGTAAGGAACACAAGCAAAGCAAGAGGCTGCTGTTTGAAAAGCGCATCAGCCAAAGGAAATAACGGCTCCGATCGATCTCGGCGCTGAGTAACCCCTTGTGGGAGGAAAAAGTGAAAAAAACAGTTGTGAATAAAGTTAAAGTTCCAGGTAGCTAACAGCACTTTTTTTTTAAATTGTTTCCAACTTTACATTTGAATGTTTAACCTTTTACTTTACTGGTGTGTCTCCAACTGACTCCTGCTCTTTACTCTTGTTCAATAGCAAGCATTGCCTTTGAGTCCCCTGGCAGAGAGACTTCAACTTTGCAGAACAAAACATTACCAAGTGTGGACGGGCATATCCCTGGAGTGCCTACCACCGAAACCATGCTGCGAAGAGCTGGGATACAAGTTTTCCACTACAGTGCAGTTTGGGTTTGGCCAGATACCAGGAAGATGAAGAAGAGCTTTGTCTTGGCAGAGTTTCTTTGGGCAAGAAGCAAAACAGCTAGGAGAGCAGTTTATAACTAAGCACGCAGGACAAGAGATCAAGTCATAGAATGGTTTGGGTTGGAAGGGACCTCAAAGATCATCCAGTTCCAATCCCCTGCCATGGGCAGTGATGCCTTCCACTACACCCGGCTGCTCAAAGCCTCATCCAACCTGGCCTTCAACACTTCCAGGGATGGGGCAGCCACAGCCTCTCTGGGCAACCTGTGCCAGTGCCTCACCACCCTCAGAGGGAAGAATTTCTTCCTTAGATCCTGTCAAAATCTCCCCTCTTTCAGTTTAAAGCCATTTCCCCTTGTCCTGTCACTACATGCCCTTGTAAAAGCCCCTCTCCAGCTTTCCTGTAGGCCCCCTTTAAGTACTAGAATCAAAGAATATGTCTCTGAATACGAATTCGCATCCGAACAGCACAGCACATCACTTGAAAATAAGCAGCTACGACGCAATCGCAGGCTGCAGGTGTTTGATCCCAAAGCCAGGCTGTGCATAAAGCCAGCTGGTTTTCAGTGTCACTTGCACGAGGAAGTGGGCAAAGAGGACACGCACGGAACCGATTACGTGTGTCTCAATAAAGACTGCAGCTCAGCTATGCAGTGGATTTATTCATTAGCCAGGGCAACCTGTGACTTTACAATCCGCCGCGGCATCATACTCTGAAGGGCAGCACCTGGCAAACACCCCCAGCGAGCGCGCTGCGAGGCCTGTGTCGCACTGCAAACTCCGTGCCAACGCTGAAATCTTACTTGCATCCATCCAAACAGGAACATGTGATGTACTGTCACAGGCTGATGGAAAAACTTCAGGTGAACTTTAATCTGAGGTGATTATACATTTTTTAATAGACTTACACTAAGGTACTGGCTCCCTAGTGTCAAAACACACACTCTGTAATTCATCCCTATGTTGGTGAGGTAGGAAATGAAGGAGTATTTACCTTTTTAAAACATAAAATAAATGTCAAATATCGATCTGAGCTTGCGTAGGGTAAAAGTATTCCTGCTTAGGACAAAATTGTTATGGATTTAATGTTGAGAAGCATGAATACTTCTTTACTTCCATCAAAATAGAGCATTTCCACAGCCTGCCTTTAAAGAAGCACGTGCAGCAGCAGCATCACATTAATCACACAATGAAAAAGTTATTACAAATGAAAACTAGGTGCTTTTTGAAGTGCACTGAGAGACCCTGTTTTGCTCCAGTAGGTCTCCAGTAGGTCTGAGAAACACAGTTCTGCTCTGTGCGGGAAAGATGTTGTCCAGGAAATGCTTTTCATGGTTTAAAAACTACATGCAAGGATTTTTATAACATCGATAAAAGGGAACTGCTACTCACAGAGAAAGTTATTCCTCTGCATAAAGCATTTATTTCAACTAATAGGTGGTTTATTACACAGGTCTGAGCAAGTCAGCGTATTTGCTGCGGCAGAAGTGGAAACAGTTTTGAAAAAAAAAAATACAAAGTTCAGAGTAAAAGCATCTGCACGTTAGTAAAAACAGGAAGTCTGTAAACCCCTATAAACCAGGATGCTATTTTATATAGATGATAATAGAAGACGTGATGCCACATTCATTTAAAAAAGTGAACAAAAAGTGTCTGTCGTCTACCACCACGACAGCAAAGTCGATTGCTCGTGTGAGTGATCAGCAGATCCCGGAGCAACGAGCAAATTTCCCAACTTAGGAAGACAAACTGGGTCTACGTTAAAGCTCTGAAAAAAGTTTTTCAAAAAGCTTCATTTTAAGTCCTTCACTATGGATGGTCTCAGCGGTAACAAAATGCTGTTTCACCCAATTTTTGGAAACCACAAGCGACCTGGTTTGTAGACTTAAAAGAAAAATCAGAGCTTCTCTACAAACACGATCCACGTGGGATATATTTGAGGCACCTCTTCTCTCCCACAAAACCCCAAGGCTGGGATTTAAGCTTGTCCTAACCTGTAGGCTCACCCTGCTTCCCTCCCCCACAGCGCACCGGGGGTGTCAGCGCCGCTAAAGCCGGGAGCTCCGCGCTCGGCTACGGGTGCGCGTGTGAGCCAAGGGAAGGAAATGACACAGGCAGGAAAACAGAGATCGAGGGAAAGACTCAGCTGGGCC